GGCCTTGAGGTGGCAGGTGCCCCATTTTGTTTCCCAACAGCAAGCATTTACCGAATATGTCCCTTGGACCTGCATTCACTGGTCCAGTGGTCCCTTTCCACAATACCTGCACACCCTGGGAAGCCTAGGTATTCTTTCAGACAATACATTTCTGCTACAAAGGGCTTGTTTGGTTCTCAGTGGAAAGTACCATTAATACACTGGGCATTTAGAGATCTGAGGCTTTTAGTGGCTTGGTCACAATGTCATTTTAAATGACCAAATTTACTGAAATTGAAGCATTGGGCATTTTGATATCGAAGACCTTGCGCAACTACATGAAAGTTTACGGTGCTAATCTCAACGCCAGGCTGCCCCTCCGGAGGCACAGGTGGTTCTAGGTAGACCCTGTCCCTGAAAGCCAGCTGTTTCAACTCTTCCTGCACCGTCTCCTTCTCCCCGAGGCTGCACACCCAGCTCCCTGCCTGGTCCAGGGGCTGCAGGACTCAGTGCCAGGCTGACGATATCTGCCTTCTAGTCCCATTTGCTTCCCTCTTTTATCCTGCGGGAAGCTGCTACCGCTGCCGAGTCTGAGTCCTTTTGCTCCTCCTTTCTGGCATTACTCACTTTCCAAGTGCCTCTACCTCTACCCATCTCCTCCCCAGTTACACAGCCAACTCTGCAACCCTTCCAAAAACAAGAGAATGGTGACCCTTCTAGTTTGTCCATTTCATCCATTTTGTTTCTCTGATTCCTTCATTTCCGCTCAGCCATCCTCCTAACCTTTTTTTTTTCTTCTTGAGACAGAATATAGGAAGAAGAAATAAAGAATCCATTTTGGGAGCAAAGCAGGGGAGAACCCCCAAGCAGGGGAGAACCCGGTGGCAGTAGTTGCAATACACTTTTTGCTGACATCCTGAAATAGAATCTCCATTCCCTCACACCCTGCTGTCTCCGTACTGCGTTAGAAACCACGTTTCCTATTCTGCCTAGCTCGTCTGGGTGCCACTTGTAGGCATAATTTTTGGCTCCTTTATTGATTTTTGTTTTACCTACCACCCTTCACCCCAATCCCCTCCAACCCCCCAACACTAGGTAGGCAAGAAAGAAGGTTAGAGGGGAAATGGGATGTAGATCTCTTTAGATTACTTCCTGCTGATGAGGGGCATCAGGTTCCTAGGGACAATGTTTATCTTCGTCAGGACATCCAATTTCTTCTTATCTTTTTGCTTACGAGCACCTGACAAACTGCAGCAGCAGCTTCCTCTCTTTGGGCTTTGGCATTTTTATTCCCTATCAAGAGTCCCCAGAATTCCAAATGTAAAGTATCTCCAAATGTAAAGAATCATGCCCCTCCTAGAGCACGAGACAAACCACAGTCAGTGGCTGTGGACAATCTGAAGCTGCCATATATCCCATACCTGGGATTAAAACAAAAAATATATTTACACAACATAATTGGGGTTTAAAAAGGAACAAAAGCTCTCACTACACTTGCTGCTGCTTGATCTGCCACAGGGCACGCAGCAAGGACACCATTTGCAAACTGGATTCCAATCTGTCAGCTCCCAGGCCTTTGCTCTTTAGAACTTGAAATTTCACATCAAGAATTTATTAGCCACAAGGAAAACAATGACCCTACTGAGAATTCCCAGTTCTGGGGGTGAAAAGTCTAAAGACTTGTGCTCACAGACACCTGTCTAGTTTCCAGTCTGCCCCCAAGACAGTTCCTGGGATACTGCATCCTCAGGTGCACAAGGCTGCCCTGTTCTCATGTGACAAAAGGTGAAGAGATAAATGTGAACCTGTCAGGCGTGTGGTGCTTTGAATATGCTTGGTCCAGGGAGTGGCACTGTTAGAAGGTGTGGCCTTGAAGGAAGTGTCACTGTGGGGGTGGGCTTTGAGACCTTCCTCCTAACTGCTTGAGGAATCAGTCTTCTCTTTGCCTTTGGAACAAGATGTAGAACTCACAGCTCCTCCTGCACCATGCCTGCCTGTTCGCTGCCATGTTCCCACCTTGATGATAATGGACTGAACCTCTGAACCTGTAAGCCAGCCCCAATTAAATGCTGTTCTTATAAGAGTTGCCTTGGTCATGGTGTCTGTTCACAGCAATAAAACCTTAAGACAGGCCCTTTAAAAAGGCACATGTTGCTGGATGACTGGGGAGGAAATGGGGGTGTCAACGCAATTAAAAAAAAAAAAGGTTCTATGGTACTAAGCCTGAGGCAAGACATAAAAAGATACACAGTAACACATGGTCCTGTTCTCAGCCACCTCTAACCACTGGAGAAGACACAGTTTTTCCCTTAACAAATCCAATCTGGAGAAACAAGGCTCTTGGTACATGGAGGAACAGTTCTGCTTCATACTAGGATCATGTGGACCAGTTGCAGCAGCTGTTGGTTTTATTGGAAAGCTTCTGCTGACTGAGGGAAAGAGGTGAAGGTGTGGTGAGGACAGGAGGTAAGACTCACACAAGGGACTCCGTTTTACTTTGGTGTAGGGGAGATGTGTTCTCTGAGGTAGAGACAGCTGTTGGATGATGTGGTGGTTTGAATGGGAATTCCTTCCATAAACTCAGATTTGAATGCTTGGCCACCATGGCGTGGCACTATAAGGAGGCGTGGCCTTGTTGGAGGAAGTGTGGCACTGGGGTTGGGCTCAGAAGCTCAAGCCAGACCTAGTGTCACCCTCTTCCTGCTGCAAGCTGATCCAGGTGTAGAACTCTCAGCTCCTTCTCCAATACAGGGTCTGCCTGTGTGCCACCATGCTTTCCGCAAAATGACAATAATGGACTGAACCCCTGAATCTTTAAGCCAGCCAGAATGAAATGTTTTCCTTTATAACAGTTGCTGGGGTCATGGTGTCTCTTCACAGCAATAGAAACCCTCACTAATACCGTAGGAAGTAACCCAAGCACAGATCTCATATGTAGAGCATAAAAAAAGATACGAGCATGCTGAGCAGACCCAGAAGGTGAACAAAATGCATAACACCTTCTGCATCACTGGAGGGAGGGAAGGGCCATCAGTGCTACAAACGGAAAGGCTACTAGAGCAGCAGGCTGGAAGCCTTCACCAGAAGCCAGATTGGCTCTGACTAGTGTTGGCATTCTCTGAAGTGTGCAGAGTGGTTCAGCTTGCACAACCAGCTGCCTCGACCGTTCTTGGGCTCAACTTTATTTTCTTAATAACCAAAGTTGAGGCATCTGAATCATGAGGAGTTATTGTCATTTTGTTTATTCAGCTGAGACTATATGTAGTCTAGCTACTGGAATGAAAACGAGGTAGGAAGAAAACTCCCTGTCTTTGTGGAAACTGTAACCAGGCTCTTTGGATTATGGGTTGTAAGTATACAAACTGAGCTTTAAAAAGATGTATGTGTACCATGTGTGTGCACACATACACACAAATAATACTTTTTTTTTTTGGTTTCTCTGTGTAGCCGTGGCTGTCCTGGAACTCACTCTGTAGACCAGGCTGGCCTCAAACTCAGAAATCCACCTGCCTCTGCCTCCCAAGTGCTGAGATTAAAGGTGTGTGCCACCACTGCCCAGCTCAAATAATACTTTAAAAAAAAAAAGAAGTATTGATAAATTTGTTTTTAAACTTGTCTGAATATATAAACTATAATATCTGGAAGATTTTTATGGGGATTATTTGCTGTCTATCAAAACACTGACAACGTGGAAAAAGGAATGAAGTCTTGAGGGTGAGGGGTCACCCTCAAGGTGTAAGTAAACTTGTATCATTTACAGTCTATTTTCACCTAACCTTGAAAGCGGGGGTCCTAGGTCCAATTCTTTACAGTTACTGAAGGCATTCTAAAACACATGACAAAAGCAAAAACAAAAATATGTGGCATTGATTAAAATGATTTACTTAGAAGTGTCTTTTTTCCAAGCTATCCTCTAAGGTGTTGGTCCTTCTAAATGACAAACCACAAGGTGAAGTTGAAAATTAATGAAATGTTATAAAATGTTTACTATAAAATCTGCATATTGTTCAGTTTTTATTCTTTGTATGTGTGTGTGTGTGCCTGCTTCTCTGCTTGTGCACCATATGAGTGCAGGTATCCACAGAGGCCAGAGGAGGGCATGGTATCTGGAACTGGAGTTACCAGAGGGAGTGAGCTGCCTGCTGTGAGTGCTGGGAACCGAACCCGGGACTGGACCTGGGACCTGTGCAAGAGCAGCCAGTGCTCTGCTGTTGTTTTTCAAGACAGGGTTTCTCTGTATAGCTCTGGCTGTCCTAGAACTTGCTCTGTAGACCAGGCTAGGCTTGAACTTAGAGATCTGCCTGTTTCTGCCTCCCGAGTGCTGGGATTAAAGGTGTGCACAGCACGGCCTGGTGCAGCCAGTGTTCTTAATGACCGACACATCTCTCCAGGCCCCATACTTGATTTTTATAGGGAAGCACTCATGCAACCAAACAGCAGTGCAGTGCAGTGCAGTCAACATGACACAGACTGAAGCGACCCGTGAGAGCTGGCGGAGAAGACCGGTCTCAACACGGTCAGAGCCACGACGTCACACCTGTGCCTGGCAGCAGCATCAACTGCTGTCTCTCAGATGCCCGATGCTGTTCAAAGTGAAGCCGCACTGGAGGGGCACAGCCAGACATTGCAAGGCTCCAGGCTGGGAGGCTGTAACTCCAGGAGAGCCATTACTCATCTGCTGGGAGGTAACAGTGGTTCCTGACTTATACAGAAAAAGCCAGCCAGCCCTGGGAACCATAAGGTTTTATGAAGCTTAATAACTTCTCATTTTAGTGGCAATAAGGTTAAGGATAATGTGGCATACAGCTAATATTTTATTAAGATATTCTTCCTTTATAATTTTATCATCTTCAAAGAAAACACATGAAGGGATTATCAGTTGTAAAACAATTTTTCCAGTTGTATTTATAGGTAACTTTTTAGGAGTGCGCCCTTGTAAAGGACACAGCTAATTTCATTAGTGAAAATGTGCTACTTAAGGATCACGAACACCCTCTCTGAAATGACCAACAGTCTTCTAGTATGTTTGACACAAAATGTTTATTTGGTCTTTGAAATGACAGGCCCAAAGAAAATGTATTTTATGTATTCTTTAAAGTTCTAGTAGGTTTTAGCTATAAGTGTATAGCACCAAAATCTATTTTCAAGGCATGAATATTAGCTACTAATGGTGAACTTAATGTATACAATTTCATGTAGACATACTAAAAAATATTTGAGACAAATATGAATACACAGTTTTATAAAATGGGCAACTTAAGGCTTTTTAAAAGCGCAATTTAAAAATATGAAGAATATTCTCTTAGATAATCATTTAACTTGATACAAAACTTGAGAGTTTAGGAAAATCTCTGGCTTAAAATTAAAACTGTTGCAAAGTCCTAATTTATTACCACGTCATAAAAATCTCAGAGGAATTTAAAAATACTGTTACCAAAAAGAGGTGCTGGACTTTTAAAGATCAAGGTAAACACTGTTCTCCATTATAATTCTTAAAAGATATCTATTCACTCAGATGAATTCACACTTAAGTTACTTATGAAGTATTTTCTCCAGCTGTATAATGTACTACAGACTAGCACTGGAGTGGTATAAGCAAACATCGACTTGTTCATGCTTCACCGGGCCTTATTCCTCTCTACTGTCTGTGGCTGTGCATGCCTCTGCTACTCCTGTAGGAGCTGCACGGGGCAGAGCATAGATACAAACCCAAATCCTCTAGCAGGGCATCAGTGGGCAGCCCCACCCAGCCCCCACTGCACACAGCTCAAGTCTTCACTCTACCGCTTGGGCAATAAAGATAACCTATGTTACAGAAATTATTTTTTATTATATGGACTTAAAAAGTACAAGATGAAAGGAAACATCTACTAAAGTTGGATTTCTAAAGAACAGCAGTCTTTGTGACTGGCTGGAACACTGGAGCAGGGATTGACTATGTTCAGGCAATGCTGCATTGCACCTGTGGGATCACATATAGGAATTCTTACCAGACAACAGGTTTGTTCTTTCCTTTTCCTGACATAGGTTCTCACATATGTAGCCCAGGCTAACCTGGACGTTCCTATGTAGTTCAGGCTGGCTTTGAACATCTGGCAGCATTCCCTTCTCAGCTTCCCAAGTGCTAGGACTGTAGGAGTGGGCCACCATAGCTAGCTCACGACTCACACTGCTCATCAGCGTAATGGCCATTTTGCGAGTTTCTCAGACTCGACCTCTCTCCTACATCTAACTGCACCTTTCTTTTTTCTCTTTTACTCTGAATAACTGAGTACTGGCCAAGAGCCTTTTATGGGGAAAATAACCTCTCTACTCGGATACTTTTTAACCATTAGCTTTTACAAAAATGTAATGCCCACAGTAAGGAGAAGTACTTATAACTACACTTTTAACAAGGTATGCAGTGGGGCAGAACTAAGGAGTACTGGAGACAAACAGACATACACAACCAACCCCGTGTGGCTGAGACCCATCAGATGTGTACAGAAACCTGTAACAGACAGCTGTTCTGTCTCCGGGAGGCCTGCTTTAGCTTATGTAGATATAATGGATTCTGAGCTATTTTTTAAAATTCTGACATTTTATTTCCCTAATAAGGAAAAAGCAAACTTTTGCCTAATCCATGGATTTTTAAAGAGGAAAGCACCAAGTGCCTTCTCCTTAATGTATAAGGAACAACATTGGTACTGAGTCAGCACCGTCCCTTCTGATTTAAAAAAAGATTGGTCCTCAAGATGTTCATTCAAATTATTCTTACATAAACGACTTCTGAAACTTGCTACAACTGCATTTTTACCTAAAAATCATCATAAACCATTCGATTAAGCTAAATTAAACTGGTTTCAGTAGAAATGCTACAAAAACAAAATACCACCTATTACTGATTTTACAAATCAAATATAATACCTTAAGCTAGGAAAATAATGCATATAGTTAAAAAAAGATTTCCAGTCTTTCCCTTCTACCCAGGAAATTTTTACATCTGCTGCCATAAACATGAGCCTTTGGTGATCTGCAGTCTTCTAAAGGTTCCCCTCAGCATGCTTACTGGTGGTCTCCTTCAACTCGCCTCTTGCGCACTGTGGGGAAAAACGTCTGTTACTAATCCATGTCTTATTATGAAATGTTAACATGCTTTTAATAAGTTTCTGTATAATATAGTTAAAATCTCATAAAAATCAATTGAGTACTTCTCTTTCATATGATCATTAATAGGATACTCAGTCATCTGCCATTATCATTTACTTGAAAATCAAGAGACTTTTAAACAAGAGCCATATACCTTATGATACTGGTGCTTACACAACAGCTGGCTAGAAGCCAGAGTAGTCAGCACTCAGTTTTCAAGTCATTTGCTTATAGAAAAAAAACACACACCTAAGTTTCCAGAAATAATCAATTAGTACAATAATGTTTGTAGTGACATCAGTGAGCTATGGTTAAGAAGTTATATTAGGGTGTTGAAGAGATGGCACAATGCTCTTCCAGCGGACCTAGATTTGATCCCCAGCACCCTATGGCAGTTCACAACTGGCTGTAACTCCAGTTCCAGAAGATCTGACACCTGTTTCTAGTCTATACAGGCACTAGGCACACACATGGTACAAAGACATAAGCAGAGGCAAAACACCAAATCACAAAATAAAGTCTAAAGGTTTATTAAAACTATTTGCATGCTCCCCTGATTAGATACATTTCCTTACAGTGAAGGAATCTATAAAAATACTTTCACCATTTCTAAATGTAATAACTGACTTGCAACTGCTTTCCAAATTTCCCTTCTCTTTAGAGTTTCCTTCTGGATACTAAATGTTGGCTGCTGAAAGAGGCTAGCCAGCTGTTCCAGATGATGGAGCAAACAATATGCTGACGCCTGATGACACTCAGCCTTTCTACCGACTAGTGACATTAAACCACTGCTAAGCTCACTAGCAGCAGGCAGGTAAGGTCTTCAGCATCAGAGAACTTGCTACCTGTCAGTCACCAACGGCATTTACCAAGCACTTCATTTCAGTACTCCGCACTACGCCTGAGCACTATTCAAAGAGGCCAGAACACCAAGGTGCAGAGTCAGCAAAGGAACACAACCACAGCTCTGCCACTTTCCTGTGGTGTCTGCTGTGGCAATCAACCTCTCTGGATCTGACTCAACTTTCCTCTGTAGCAAGAGAATAATGGTAGCTAATGCTCACAGCCACAGTTAAGGTATAACCTGCTGCACAGAGCAGTGCTGAGAACACAGTGCTTAGTACAGAAGGCACACCTTTAACCACCACCTCAGACCACACGCTGGCCCTGAGGGACTGGCAAGCCATCTTTCTAGTGAGGACAGCCAACTTGGCTACCACAGTGGTTGTATACTCCTGTGCTATTGGTTTTGGCACTTTGCACTCAGATTCTCTGATTCAATAGGGCTGGTTATTGATTCCCCACTTCTCTTCTGGATGCAAAGTCACAAGTCACAAGCCTCTTTCTTTAGCCTAAACTGGCTGTCAGAGGAGCTAGTCATGACAGCAAGTCTCTGGAGCTGAAGACCTGACCTGCCACTAGTGAGCTCAGCAGTGGTGTAATGTCATCAGTCTGTGACAAGGCTGGGATCTTGTTTGCTCTGTACTCAGCTAGAGTAATGGGTGCTCCCATGCTATTCTGACTACTGACTGCTGGGACCAGACATTCACTGGTATGCATAAGAACGGTCCAGTCATTGACTGGGTGGAGTCAGAAAATAAAGGCAAAGGATACAGTCTCCGTGAACTATACTTACCTACCCATGCTTCCCTGACTCTAACCTATGGGAAGAGCAACAAGTTTCGAGTGTCTACTGAAAAGTTAAGGGAGAAAAAAGTCAAGGAGACCTGAAATAAATACGAATATACCGCCAAAAGGGAAACATCAGGCAATTCTTATGGCAGGGTTTAGCTGTTTTTGGCAAACCATTTCAGATGTTAAAATGCATGCTATTAAAAAAAATGTTACAAAATGTTACAGACAGGATCTACAAGAGCACAGCAAACAAAAATCCATAGAAAGCTGATTATGTAGTTAGCTAGCGCACAGGTGAAAAGCTCGAGACTTTAAGCTGCAGTGCATAGTGCATGTGTCCCATACAACCTCTTCTGTTATAGCTGTGACACTTCTCAGCTGGAGAGATGGCGAGTAGGCAGAGGGTTTCAGTAGATAGCTGAGAGTGAGAGAACAATGAGAAGATGCATAAGAGTGAGAACAAAGATCTGCTACAGTCCCATTTGTGAGCTGAAGGAAAGTCATTTGCCCAGGAGACTGGGTCAGTTTTGAGTCTTGCCAGGCTGCTGGGATCTGTGTTAGAAAGCATGATCCCCGGGCTCCATAGCTATAGACAGAGACCACGGTGCACTAAAAGACAACGGATGTGGAGCAGATCTGAGGCAGCTGCTATGTGCACAAGGCAAGGGCAGAGGGCAGAGGGCAGAGGGCAGAGGGCAGAGCACCACTTTTGATTACTCCTTGTTACTTGGTGCCCTTCTTATCTACCTGGTCCAATTTCTTCCCATGAATAAAATTCTTGATCCTTCATGGTAACCAACTGTTAGTAAGTCTTAACTACTAACTGCAGAGACCTTACAAAGAGTGACTTCCCTGCTATGATGTTGGTGGGTTGCAATTACACAATACCTGTGGGTGTCATGTACCTGTGACAGAGATGACTAGGGGTGATATATATTGGTTGCATTTGGGGATCTAAGGTAGTTTTAGAGGAGAGGGAAATGGAAGATCTGCCTGGCTTATTTTAAGATGACACAGTTACCAGAAAACTGTAACTGAATAAAGATAAATTCTACTGCCTTATTCACATCCTCCCTCCCTCCCCCCTTTCTTCTCCCCCACCCTTTTCTTCTTTTTGGTTTTGCTAGAGATCAAATCTAGGACCTTGAGAACATGCCAGGCAAGCACTCTATCCCTGAGGTGTATCCATTTTTACTAAATACCTACTATGGGCCAGATATGATTTTGAACATGGCTCCTGACAGCAACATGGTCCCTATGCTAAAAAAAAAAAAAACTAATTGTAATGTTTGAAAACATTATTTTGTTTTAACGTTTTTATATACTATGTGTTGATGTGTACATGTGTGTATATGTGTGCTATGGTGTATGTGAGGTCAGAACGTCTTGGCATTGGGCCTCTCTCTGCATGGATACATGGGTTGTCAGTCTTCAGTAGCAGCCACTTTACCAGTGAGCCACCTTGTCGGCCCCAAACCAACTAGGTTAGCTGTCATGCTGGCTCATACTAGAAATCCAAACATTCTGCAGGTGGAGGCAGGAGGATGAAGCACCAGGAGTTTGAGGCAAGCCTGAGCTGTAATGGCAAGACCCTGCTCAAAAACAAAATTTATCTGGAGACAGACACTTTAAATGAACTACAACTAATATAAAATAAAAGGCAATTTTAAAAGTCTGACAGCTGTGGTAAGCAGAAAATATACATGGCACATGTGTTTAAGATATGTGTTAACTCAGAAAGCAATTATCTCCTGCCACCCAGAGAAAGACGCTATTGCAGTGAGGGACCGCTCACAGCAGAATTAGAATTCCTGTTAAGGGGCAATATGTCTAAGTACCACCCTTTTCTAAATCTGAACCTCTAAGGGAAGGAAAGTTCTCAGCTATTTACAAAGTTCAGTCCAGATTTAAGAAATACTGCTCTGGGGCTAGAGAGCACTGGCTGCTCTTCCAGAAGTCCTGAGTTCAATTCCCAGCAACCACATGGTGACTCACAACTATCTATAAGGGAATCTGATGCCCTCTTCTGGTGTGCAAGTATACATGCAGGCAGAACTCTGTATACATAATAAATAAATCTTAAAAAAAAAATACTGCTCTGAACAGCAAAGTCAACACACTTGCAGGAGTGAACCAACACAAAAACTAGGCGAATGACTAAAAACTACATCTGGAATCAAGAGCTCAGCAAAGGGATGTTTTGTCTTTTGAAAACCAGTGGCTAAAATGCCTATGGGTAAGTGACATAGATGGTGAATTAAACAATACTGCTCATGTAACTTGGGTTACAGGGACAAACTATAGCAATATAAATGCAAACATGGCTGAAGCTTAAAAGAACTACACTGCTTGGAACCCCAACCCTGTTGGACTTAGTCTTCTTCCTGTAATGAATCCTGTAAAACATTTTAGTGGCAAGTAGTGTAACTTAAAAGGAGAGTCACTTTCTGGAACTGCAGAGACACAAAATTCTGAAGACCAGATTTCTACCCTACCCAGGGCTACAGGAAGCATTTCAGTCAGAGATCACAAGACTCAGGTAAAAGGAACCTGAGGCAGGCAGGTGCAGAGGCAGGCCCTGCAGCACGTCAGGGAGGCGGGCAGTCAAACTGTACTTATTTTGTACTTCAGTATAGAAAGCTGACTTTCTGCCTGGGTCTGCTTGATAGATAGGCCAGATGCTTTCTGGTGGTGTTGAACTCTTTGTTTCAAAGCACAAGGAATAACTGACAACCAAGGATTAAAAAGTTTCACTTAAAGCTATCATGTGCTTGTCACAGAAGCTGGTTTAATACATGAAGACCACGACAACCTGGCTTGGCTCTGACTCACGGTATAAAGGACCCAGCAGTATTAGACACTAAAGACAGGTACTTCTTCTATGTTAAAATTTATTTCTAAAAATAGCTTAGCGTTATATTTTGGAAATACGACTCAGCACCACATACGTCTTACCTAAGTCATTGTTCTTTGTTATAGCATTGGCTGCCCTGGTTCGGGGTCCCTGCTGTGTGAACTGATATCCGAATTTTAGGATATTCGTATTTTCCTCAAGCATCTTGGCTATTTCTAATTCTACAGAGGTGCCCAATTGCTGTCTCTGGAAGAATCAGAAGTAAAGAATAGTATTAATAAACCAGATCAAAACATTTTTTAGGTAATTAAGATTTTCAGTCCCATACTGATTGTTAGTCTCTAATTTTTCCCAACTTCCACAAAATACACAAAAACCACAGTTTTTAAGTTCAGTAGACACCAACAACACATATAGAAATAAAAAGGATACCATGAATGCACCTCATACGTTCGAGGATGGGTATAATGGAGACAGCAGAAAGGGCTGAGGAAAGAGCCCAGTGCTGCCGAATACCCACAAAGCTCTGACTTCAATCCCAGCACCGCATACAGCAGGTATGGGGGTGCATACCTGTGACCAGGACTTGGAGCTGATAGCAGAAATTTAAGGTTATCCTCTCATACAGAGAAGTTGGAGGTTAGCCTGGGCTACATGAGACTCTTGTCTCAACCTTGGCCCAACAAACCCAAACCAACAAACTAACCAAAGGAGAAGATGACTAAGCACCAGGCATGATAGTGTGCACTTAGAGCTCCAGGTACTGGGTAGGCTGAGGTGGGAGCACTGTTTGCTCCCAGATCAAGAACAGTCTGGGCAATACAGTGTGACCCTGAACTTGTTTTGTTTCTTGAAGTAGTTGCCAAGAATGTAAAACAGTAGGCCCTTGGTAATTGCTTGAAATATGGAATTATCATACTCTCCAGCAATTCTACTTGTAGGTATAAGCTCCAAGAAATAACCATGAATGTTCATAAAAAAATTTATGTGAATATTCATGAGAACATTATTTTTCTTATTTTTTTTAATTTTTTAAAAAAATTCACGCATATGAGTATGTAAGTGTTTTGCCTGTATTTTTGTATGTATGTATGTATGTATGTATGTATGTATGCATGCATGTGCACCATGTGTATGTCTGGTGACCAGGAAGGCAGGAAAATGTATTAGAGCTACTATTTAGATGCTAGAAATTGAACCCAGGCAGTCTCCAAGAGCAACAAGGGCTCTTGACTGCAGAGCCACCTCCCCAGCTCTATGGCATTACTTTAACACTCCCCAAATAGAAACTACATGTACATATGGGAGCTTTGACATGGATTGCAACATGGATAAGCATCCAGGACTTTATCACAAACATCACACATTGAATTACAGCTCAGTTAAAAATTTGAGATCCTGGATTAAGGAGCATCTGGGCTCAATTTTTAGATATAACCAAATCTTTTCTTTGTATTCTACAAATTTATTCTGAAGAACTCAGGGAATCATTTACCAAATATCTTTTCAATTAACTAGCTATTTTGTGTGTATGTGCACGTGCATTTGACAGTACACATGTGGCGGCCAGAGGCTGATCCTGACTGTTTTTCTCTATCATTCTCCACCTTATTTTCTGAGACAGCGCTTCTCACTGAACTCGAAGTTCACTGTTTTGGCTAGACTGGCAGGCCAGTGAGCCTGTGGGACGTGCCTGTCTTTGCTTCTCCAGAGATGGGGTTAAAGATACACGTTGCTGCATCCTGCTTTTCTGTGGGTGTTGGACCCAGACTCAGGTCCACGTGACTATGCAGCAAGAATGTCACCACTGAGCCATCTCTCCAGTACCCAAAACTATTTTTCCAATAAAAAATTAATAGTTGCTCTATATGGAAATGTTTCTAGCATGCATATTTTCCCCCCTTTAAGGTCTATGAGACTGGTAAGAGGGCTCAGCAGCTGAGAACACTTGCCGCTCTTCCAGAGGACCCAGGTCCAGGTCCCAGCATCCGCGTCAGGTGACTCACAACCATGTTTTACTCCAGCTCCAGAAATCCAATGCTTCTAGTCTCCATACGCACACTCATGAATAAACATCCACACATGTCCCTATAAAATACAAAAACTGTAAAAAAGAAGTATGTCTGGAAACAGGTGGCCCACGTTAGTGAATGCACTGGCACTGGACGTGCCAGTATCGTCAGAGCACCTAGGCACCGGGATGTTTCTCTCATTGGACCTGAAGCTTGTGTCTTGGCTATCAAGGTCCTGAGGTCTGTTGTTTCTCTGGCCCCCAATGCTGGAGGTGTTGTATGCCTATGCAGCTATGTCCAGCTTTTTATTTTTTTACACAGGTGTCACAGGTTGAACTCGGGTCCTCTTGTAACCGCAGCACACACTCTCACCCACCGGGCATCTCCTCAGCCCCATTTTAATTCTCTCATGCAATCAACTCGATTCATCTTTGGTGTATGTGAGACTACTGACACAAGTGTGTGGGTCTCTCAAAGAGCTGGGGAAAAAGTAGACAAAGTCACACGTAAAAGTCTTTCCAGTTCAAATCAGTCGTCCATCTAACGCTGTAAATTGACTTAAAGAGACTTGCTGTGTACTCAACTGGTACCATCGCCCCTTTCCACTGCCTTCTTTCCCAGAGGATTATAACCCTTCCTGCGAGCCCTCCCAGCGGTGGGGGCCACAGTCTCCTCTGAGCTTCTACTGTAAAACACAAACCTGATTGTCAATCTTGAGCTCTGTCAGGGTCTCGTTATCTCTCAGAGCATCAACCAGTGCTAAAACCCCAGTGCCTGTGATGAAGTTGGACTCCACATTTAAACTCTTCAAAGTTTTGTTCACTTTCAGCATATCTGCAAAAGCCTAGGAATCAGAGAAAATATTTGGAGATTAAAATCTGATAGCGCCTATCTTTTGCTAAGTGCCATAAGAAAATGTATGAATTTACCTTTCTCAAGTTTCTCTCTGCACTGTTTCAGTTTTACATCACTGCTCAGGTCTCTCGGGTGTTTACTTCCTCCATGTACATCACCATATATAATCCTTACATTATTTGGCCACATATAATATTCTGGAGCTGACATTTCTAACTCTTTTTTTTTTTTAATTTTTAGTGCTTTTTTAAAAACAAAATTTTTTTTTTCATTTCTAACTCTTTTTTTTTTTTTTTAAATTTTTTTTTATTTATTTATTATATGTAAGTACACTGTAGCTGTCTTCAGACACCCCACAAGAGGGCATCAGATATCATTGCAGATGGTTGTGAGCCACCATGTGGTTGCTGGGATTTGAACTCGTGACCTCTGGAAGTACAGTCAGTGCTCTTAACCACTGAGCCATCTCACCAGCCCCCATTTCTAACTCTTAAGAGGTGGCCTGCCAGGCAGTGGTGGCGCACGCCTTTAATCCTAGCACTTGGGAGGCAGAGGCAGGAGGATTTCTGAGTTCGAGGCCAGCCTGGTCTACAGAGTGAGTTCCAGGACAGCCAGGGCTATACAGAGAAACCCTGTCTCGAAAAACCTAAACAAACAAACAAACAAACAAAAAGAGGTGGCTCAACAAGAGGCAACTGCAATAATCCAGGAAAAAGAAGTCTGCATGCACCAGGGCAGGAGTAATAAAAATGTGAGAAATGGTTGGAGACTGAAAATATTCACTTTCTTTCCTCCTTTTTTGCCTTTGAGTTTTTCTCTGTGTAGCCATGGCTGGCCTGAAACTCACTCTGTAGACCAGGCTGTCCTGGAACTAGAAGATCCACCCACCTCTGCCTCCCAAGTGCTGAGATTAAATTAAAGGCATGCACCAGTACCGTGGGTAAAGACAGGGTTTCAGGTATCCTAAGTGGGCCCTTTGAGTCCCAGGCTGGGATGGCCTTGAACTGCTTGTCTTTTTTGGCTCTGCTTCCTGAATTATAAGTATTATAAGTGTATGTTGGGATTATAGGCATGTGCCACCACATTCAGTTTCTGTGGTTCTGGGGATAAATCCAGAGCTGCGTGCATACAATGTGACCATTCTACTAACTGAGCTACATCTCCAGCCCTCCCCATGACCTCTGAAGAAATGTTTTGCAGTGTTGATCCTACCTAGCCTGGAACAGACAGAGATCAGCCTTCAGATTGCAGAATTAAAGGTATACACCACTGCACCCAGCTCCAGGCAATTAAAAAATATGATTGTGTCTATGTGTATTTATGATGTGCGTGGATGCGTATGCATTATGGTGTTCTAGTGGAGGTCAGGGGAAAACTTTGGAGCTGGTTCTTTCTTTCTCCCTTTATGTGAGTTCTGAGCATTGAACTAAAGTTGTCAGGCCAGTGTAGCAAGTACCTTTAACTGCTGATTCATCTCACCAGCCCGTGGTGTGTGTGTGTATACATGTGTGCGTGCGTGCATGTGTGTGTGTGCGCCCTTTTTTTCAGCTAAGATCTCACCATGTGGTCCAGAATGGCCTGGAGCTTGCTATGTAAAGCAGGCTGGATTCAAACTTATGCAATCCTCCTACCTCTCCCTCCTTGAATTGCTAGGATTACTTGTGTGAACCAGCACAACTATCTTAGATTCTAAAAATATTTTGGAGACAGGACTGTATATATGCTTTAAGGTTGTAAGAAAGGGAAGTTAAGGGTGACTGTTCGCCTGTCACCAAGGAAGTAGATTAACAGGGCCATGCATGGGGCAGGTCCAGGCACAGCTACTTGGTAGGTGGCTGGGTGTGAGTGCAGAGCTAAGAACAGGGATAGAAGGGAGACAAGAGTGCTGGAGTTGCCAGCATGCACTAAAATGAGCTTGCCCAGGCAGTAGTGAAAGTAAAAAGCAGAAAACTCTGGACCACTCCAGTGTTCAGAGCTTGGGAAGATGAGGAAGAATCTGTGTGGGAACGTGGGAATGAGTAAAGTTAGAGGACTGATAAACTGTTTTATATATATATATAAAACATAAATTCGGGCCGATGATATGGTTTAGTGGGTAGGGTACTGGCTGTGAACCCTAACAACCCAAATTCCATCTCTGGGACCCACATGGTAGAAGGAGAGAACCAACTCCTACAAGTTTTCCACATACACACTGTAACACATGTATACACACTGTAACACATGTATACACACT